AGACTCAGCATAAACTTTCAAGTGAGTAGATTGAGAGTTTGACATTCTTAAATTTACCTGAAAGTAAAATCTCAAAGAACAAGAGTAAAGCAGAGTGCATTATAGAATTTTTTATCAAATTGCCACAATTACCCTTAGCTCCACGGTGAGCGCCAAACTGTTTACCATAACAACAATAACAATTGAATTTATATGTGGTTTTAAGGATATGTAGATTAATTCAATATAAATGATTAATGGCGTTAGATTAAACAGTTAAAAGACGTAATGAATTTCCAAACCAATAATGAGAGTGATCCCGGACTCAGTAACGGCTCAACGAAGTGCCTGCCTTCGATCCCGAGCTCACACTAATGAAGAACTAATGAAAAAAAATAAGAACTTTGAATGACAGAGAGAATATGAGTTTATTGCCTTGATACGCATGTTACAAGCCCCCTATGAATTATAAGTTTTACCCTTTATATAGTAGGAAAATTTTACCCTAAGTACAATTCTAAGAAAGGTAAAAATTTTCCGTCTCGCTATCGCTGATTTTCTGCTGATACGGGCCTAGATTTATGCCAGGATATCTGGTTGGGCACGGATATCACGACCCTTTGTTAGTCGTGTGCAGTCTTTTGATAATGTTCGCCGAAGTCTCGAAGACCGAACCGGACACGGCGGATGTGGTTCCGATGTCTCCGAGGGCAGGAGTCTTGCCCGAACCCCGATCCGAGAGGCTCCTCGTCCAGACTCCGATTCCTTACGATCATGTTCATGCTCCGTTTGTCTTACCGGAAAACCAAGATATTCAATGGGCTTGGTTTTACCCGTATACAAAGTTTGAACTATATAGTTTGAAATTAAGGACATTGTACTGATCGACAAGACGCGAGGAGATGTTAACGCGGGTTAGAGGTTTGGAGGCATACCCCAGAGTCTAAAGATTTCAAGTTGAGCAGGACCAAAATAAAATACTTGGAGTGCAAGTTCAGTGGTACGACTCACGAAGTGGATGAAGATGCGGGGCTCGATTCACAAGTCATCCCTAGGAGAGAAAGTTTCAAGTACCTTGGGTCAGTTATTCAAAGGAATGAGAAAATTGACGAGGATATCAAACATCGTATTGGGGAAGGGTGGATGAAATGGAGGCTCACTTCCGGTGTTTTGTGATAAGAATGTGCCACCAAAACTTAAAGGTAAGTTCTATGAGAAGTGTCAGGCCGACTATGTTATATGGGACTGCGTGTTGGCTGGTCAGGAACTCTCATGTCCAGAAGATGAAGGTGGCAGAAATAAGGATGTTAAGATGGATGTGCGGGCATACTAGATTAGATAGAATAAGGAATGAAGCACTTCAGAACAAGGTTGTCGTGGCCCTTGTGGAGGACAAAATGCGGGAAGCGAGACTCAGATGTTTCGGGCATGTGAAGAGGAGATGCACAGATGCTCAAGTGAGGAGGTGAGAGAGATTAGTCTTGGAGGGCCTTAAGAAAGGGAGAGGTAGGCCGAAGAAGTATTGGGAAGAGGTGATTAGGCGAGACATGGTGATGCTTTAGCTCACCGAGGACATGACCTTGGATAGGAAGGTGTCGAGGTTGAAGATTAAGGTACAGGGATAGGTAGTCGAACGTTGTTTTTGCTCATGCTAGTAGTGTAGTGCATTACCTGGTGTTAGTCTTGTAATTTCTTACTCTTAGATTTCTATTATTATTTGTCGTCTCTTTCGCTTCGATTTTCTGATTGCAGTACTTAATGTTAGTCTTGTATGTTCACTTTGATTTTCTGAGTAGTTGGCTTGTTGTTGCTTCTCCTTTTATCTTTCTGAGCCGAGGGTCTTCGAAAACAGCCTTTTTGCCCGGTAAAAGGTAGGGGTAAGGTCTGAGTACACACTACCCTCCCCAGCCCCACTTGTGCCACTTGTGGGATTACACTGAGTCTGTTATTATTGTTGAATTGTAGGATACTAAAGTCGAAATCTGGAAGTTAGAACTGAACTAAGGATGCAATGTTGAAGTTTTGAACGAGAAAAATGGAACTCAAGGACACCCGAAATTGTGAATTGCAAAAAAGTGGATTTCATTGTCCTAAAGTTTGGGGAAGCGGAGAAGAAAAGAAACAATGTTTGCCCGCCTTTTAAGCTGTGGCTAAATATTAAATAATTGCAAGTGCTTGCTAAGACTTAAACAACGGTCCTAAAAGTGGCTACCTAGTGCCATTTCTACTTACTTTGGACAACAAAAGCCCAATGGGTTATTATACTTAGCCTACAACAGTAGATTAGCCCACTATTCGTCTACTAAAGCCTAATTAGGTCATTGTGCTGAGCTATAACATGAGCTATAGTTACTTCCTATAGCAAAGGTTTATATTTTATTCATTTTAAATAAATACCCTTTCACAAAATTATATTCCATAGCTACCTTTTGATTTTTTATAGCCAAATATCTATTTATAGTAACCTCCTACCTTTAAGCCATAAAATAAGCATTGTATTATTTTTCTCTCTCCCATCAAATTCTAATAACCACTAAACACCGGGGAAGATGAAAGGGAAGGGGAATATGTTGTGTCTAAAGTATTTTATCAGCAGCAGCAGCAGATCAAGCAAGGTGAAAAAATTGAATAAGAATTGACCGAGGAGTTTGAATGTCTGGTTGCTAAAGTAGATCCACATACCCCCAACAAGAATTGACCGAGGAGTTTGAATGTCTGGTTGCTAAAGTAGATCCACATACCCCCAAGTCTGTGACTCCTGACCCCCCTCGTGGCTAGAGGCTATTTTCAACTATGATTTCTATGTCTATATCGTGCGGCGCCTCTGATTTCTAGTTGTGTGCTAGGGTTTTTCCATTCTTTTCATTTGTTCTAATGAGTTATAGGGATATTCAGTGAAGAGAAAGAGAGAGAGAAAGGCGAAAGAGTTGAGGGTTGTTGCTCGACGGCGGATTCGTCGGAAATTAGGGTTTGTTCTTGAACAAAGACGACGGAGTTTGGGGCTGAGCAACTTGATTTTCTGTTAATATATTTCAATGTATTTTCAACGTATCACGCTGTATTTTCATGTATTTCATTATATTCATTGTCTTTTTTTTTTCCATTGTAATTCAATGTATCTCGCTGTATTCCATGTATTTCATTGTATTCACTATCTTTTTTTCATTGTATTTCAATGTATCCCGCTGTATTATATGTATTTCATTGTATTCACTATCTCCCTATATGCCATGAATGTATTCATATATTTTTTTTTAATTAATATAATTTGTGTATTTAGATGTATTATATAATTTTTCTGAAGATTGCTATATTTTTGGGGTATTTTTCAGTTGAGAATCTTTTTTATAACTGGAAATACAAAATTTTGTGTGTTATAATTGAGTTTGTTGAGTTATATTAGGAGTCTATTATGTTAATTGATTCACTTTCCGTTTAAAAATAGTGTAATCCCCTGTTTCACGCCGTGAATACAGTCGAATACAGTCGAATACAATAATCTATCCAGCTGTAATCCCGCCACGAATACAGTCGAATACGGTCGAATACCAACAACTGATTAACTGGACTTTCCTGATTCACGCCTATTTTTTCTACTGTATTCATGAATACAACATGAATACAGTAGCTTAAATACATCTAATACATCTTATAACAACAAAAAACGTATCTACAAGCCGTAATATAGCAAATGGTATCTATAGATAGCTAATTACCACTAAAAGATAGTGCTTTATGAAAATTTCTCTTTAGCTAAACTAACATTGTTGGGTTGTAAGAAGGTATTTGGGATTTTATGGTCCAAAACATATATTCTTTACTAAAATACAACATTTATGATAAGTGCGTACCTTCATAGTTTATCTGAACTATAGCCGAATTATCATATCGAAATCGAAAATTTTGGTATATAGTATTCAGTATTTTGGTATTTGGTATGGCATTTCGTTTAAGTTTTTAAAATAATTTGGTATTAGGTATGGTATTTGGTATATAAAAGAATAATACCGAAATACCGATACGGTACCGAAATATATACTAAATTACACATTACCGATATTATTGTTAACATACTAAGTTACACAATACTTTTCTTTGGCATCATATTGAGGTTGGCAATAAAGCCCATGTACTTCTTTAGGAAAAAGGAGGAACAAGGTAGGATGCAAATTCTAATTCATACTCTCTAGGTTGTCAAACAATTTAACGTAATGTTTCAACGGTTTTAGGGTGTTTCTTACTCCATTACACTTGTATCGTTGTTGCATATATTAGATTAATCCTTGTTGTATTCTCCAATTTCTACCATTAACTTTAAGCAAGTGACTTGATATTTTCAATGATCAAATGTATTTTTTTATGTACCTTTTTTCCTCTTAGTTCATACTTGATAGTTTTGGACAAAGATTTTGTCAACAATTAGATGAGCTTAGAATGTGTTTCATTGAGTACTTTAATTAAGAATATTACAGTGTATTGCTCTAATGCACTAGTTAATATTCAAGCCGAATAAATTGAATTTATCGAACCGAATAAAACGAAGCCGAAACCGAAAGGATAAAAGCCAAATCATACCGAATGTAATTAGGTATGCTATTGATATAGCATTTTAAGAAACCGAATACCGAAAAATGACTAATACCATACCGTACCGACCGACGAACACCCAAACCCCAAAAAAATTCATGAGTTATGCTTAAAAAGTTTAATAAGTCATTTTGTAAATTTTGTATAATCACTTATTCAAGTGATGTAAACTTACACGGATGCCACAGAGTTTTATGTTATGAATACGTAATAGTACTTCTTTAGTCGTAAAATAATTCATGAAATCGTCACTTTTGGGATCTTCTTTCCGTAAATCATTTTCAAGGGATCTACTTTTGACTAATTTGTTGTATTTTTTTTTAATGTGGATATATATGAAGCTTCAGTAAACTTTCATTTGTGACCCTTTTTCTCCACGCATTCTTATCACAAAGCAGGAAAATTACTGGCTAAATAATGAGATATATATAGAATACAGGAAAATGCCACTAACGTGATATAAGAATAAAAAACGACCAAAAATACATTAATATCCAGCTACGATGAATATTTCAATGTAGCGTCTGGCAGAGAATATTTGAAAATTCATGTCCTTTACAGTTAAACCCAATTATTTTTGTTGAATTCTGATTCCTTATGTAGAATTCTCCAGCTTTAATTTCTTCCACGCATTCTTCAGTTTTCGTATTGTCTTTTGTTTGGCTGCAAGAACACTGGTTTCATTAAGAAATTTTCCTGTAAAAGCCTAAAAGCTAAGATTAAATTAGAAATAAAAGTTATCTAGTTAAATCAAACACATTACTGCCTACATATCTTAATTCATTCCGCTTGTTTAAACCAAACATATGTTAACATTTTGTCAAACTAAACATTCAAATTATCATCGAAAGACCTCTCCCATACCCACTCACCCAAATTCTACTATTATATTAGTTCTCAAAAATAATTTACCAAGCATACAACATATTTTAGATTTATATCCTTGAGTACTTTGAAAAGTTTAAGGTAAATATAAGGGTGAGAGTACATCGAGTGATAAGCACATGCTTTAGCATCTTAGAATTCAAGAGAGAGGCTTGGATTGCTTGAGATAAAATGAGGGCAAAAAAGGTAAAATAACTTTAAACGTACAGATGCGAGACAATATATAGATGGCTTCTTTTTAGCTAATTACAACTTTTCTTCATTTTAATTTATATGAACACATTTAACTAGATACAGAGTTTAAGAAAAAGAGAAGATTTTTAAAATTTATGGTTGTAAACACCCCATTAGACGAATCCAGCACAATTATAACTACAGTTAAGCTATTTCAAACTTTTGGTTAATTGGAATGTTTATATTTCAAACCAAAAATAGAGGAATATATAAGATTGGCGTGCTTTTGGTTTTCATTCAAAATGAAACATGCAACTTAAAATGATTAATTTTGAAATTACATATTTATAAAATGAAGAGAAATAAAGGGATTGGATGATAAGGAAGGATGGGGAAGAGGAAGGTGGAGGAGATTAAAGTTGGTATCTCAATAGTGTAGGGAAGAAATGATGCCTGGCCTGAAGTAGCATATAGTATTGAATTGAAGTGGACATTTCAAGCAAAAAGACTGTCATATATATGGACATGGCTGTCCAACTCCAGTAGTAAGTACATAACCCTATTTACTCTATACAACTCTATGCTTTAATAAGATCTTCAACAAAATCTGACGCCATGCTCCTATATATATATATATATACACACACACACACACATTACTCTTCATCAAGCTGCCACCGTCACCTCTCTATAGAATGCTAAACAAATGATGAAGCATGATGTCAATATACTGTCATTTGGGATGCTGTAGATCAAGAGTACTAGGTATAGCTAGCTCAAATGTTATTATAGGTGCAACCTAGCTAATTAAGATTATACGTACGAACATTAATTAAGGCCATATATATATATATATATATTATATAAAATCAGCATCGCAAAATTTGATTGGCGTGATATACAAGAAATGGAGAAATTTTTTATGGTTTGAAAGTCTCTTATTTTTTCCCATGGAGAGGTAAAAGTTGGAAAAGAGATATAGAGAGGGAAAAACTGATAAACATGTGGTTAAATTAAACAAATAAATGTGGCATTGTTGATTTTGGGGTTTCTTACCTTGCTTATATATATTCCCATCCAACTAGCTTTGAGATTTCATAGACAGAGTGCTCAATGAGAATGACCTAAACATCTGGACAATATATGTGAACAACAAATAAAAATGCACATGCATGCAATTTAGTAAGCGAAAGTAGAAAGGGAAATTAAGGATATACAAAGATTAATTAAGAGCCAGAATCTTCAAAAACATGAAATTAAGTAGAAAGAATCCTGCTACATATAACCCCATGCATAAATGTAAAGAAATTGCTATGGTTAATTAATTAAAAGCTAAAAGCTAGTCATTTTACAATAACAATATATAATCAAGAAATTAAAGTTGTCTAATTAATTAATTAATTAATCGTGGAGGGGGTTGATATCTAAAGATTATAACCCGCTTACCCTCATCATTCAGTTAAGAAAATAGCATAACAAATTAAATGAAAAAGAAAAATTAAAGCCCATATTTTAAGTTTCCTACTCTTGTTTTGGATCTCTCCTCATTTGGGATGGCACCATGTCCTGCAGAAGCCCATGATCTCTAGCCAAAGAGGAAGAAGAAGAAGAAGTAGAAGGCGAGAACCTTCTCTCTTGGGATGAATATAAGGAGGAATCACTAGTACTAATAAGGTTTATCGGTAATGTTGGTGTCTGAAAATAGGTCGGTTGTTGATAATGGAATTGTGGGATAAATAAAGAGGAACCACCACCACCGCCACCAATTGAGCCACCGTAGGCGGTGGTTTCAGACAGAATGCCGATGCTGCTGCGAGGCGTAATGGGGCATGGATGAGTGTGAATACCTTCATAAGTGGTAACTACTATTGAAGTATCTTCAGATGACCTTTCCACTCTCTTCTTCACGCCACATGTTGCGGTGGTGCAACGATAGTAGCTCCTTCACAATAAACAATTAATTTTAGCAAGAATACTAATTTATATATAATCCAGTATGATTATAAAAGAAACGACAAGAGCATTTATTTTTCATTAGTATTATTATTATTATTATTATTATTATTATGTATGTTGTGTTTGCGTGTAGGTGTGAACATATATACAGTACCTGGGAAAGGGGCTGTTTTTTACTGCTTTTTGGCCGTACTTTCTCCATCTAAAACCATCATCCAAATGATCAACTTCGCTCTTTGTCATGAACGCAAATCTCGGCTCTCTTTCCCTCTTTTGTTTCTTCTTCTTGGGTTTTAACCTAAAGCCACCAAAACTCCATCATTTTTTATTCCAATTAAAAGTAGACGAAATAACTACAACGGGAATCAAATCATGCATAAAAAACCCCCATCAAATCAAGATCTATATATTTCCTGGATTTTGTTAGTCAACATTTACTAATTAATGTATAGAAGAACATTTATATAATTTAAAAAGAGGACTTCATGTCTTTATCCATATATAAAATAAAATTAAGGTAAGCTTACTGTTTCTTATTCTTGTGTTGATCATCATCATCTACTCTTTGAGTGGTGGGCTGTAGTTGATCATCATTGGCAGCAGCTTCAGTTGATGATGACGAATTTGGAGTATTTACAATCTCAGACGACGGAGTCTTATTGACTATTTGTGATGGAAGTGCCGGTGGTGGTGGTGGTGGAGGTTGAAGCAAATCGAAGATAGAAGAAGTAGTAATTGGATAAGAAGAAAACATTAAGCTTAAAGAAGAACCCTTTTCTGTTGGCATATCAAATAAAGAATAACTACTCGCCGGAATCTGATCGGAAAATGTGGAAATTTCTATTGATGAAGTGTCTGGTTTTAGCTTGTTTTCCTTGTCCGCCATGGACTTGATCAAAAGCATAGATTCTGCTTCTTTCTTATTGCAAACAACAAAAGGCAGAGAGAAATATAAACTTCACTTTATGCCTGGGTTTGGGTATAGGATTTTTTCAGACTTTTTGCTGAGTTGTGGCTACTTTATTTATTTGCTCAACAGGTTGGTCCCACTCCCATAGGGGAAAATTTGGTTTTCTTTCACCTAGGAGTTTGAGGTTGACCGGTAAATGCCGGTGGAGTACGACCGTGTTCAAATGGAAAATAATTGCTGCTTTTGACCTAAGTTCTTTTATTTAATCATTTTAAATCATATATATTAACAATGTAATACACTTTTTAAGTCGTCAAATAATTTAATACTCCCTCCGTTCCAGTTTATGTGAACCTATTTACTTTTTGGTCCGTTAAGAAAAGAATGACCCCTTTCTAAATTTAGAAACAATTTAGCTTAAACTTACAATTTTACCGTTAATGAGAAACTTTATAACCTCACAAATACTCTGGGCTACTTTTTGACTTGTTTAGAACCACAAATTCTAAAAGCATTTATTTTTTCTTAAACCCCGTGCCCAGTCAAACAGGTTTACATAAATTGGAACAGAGGGAGTATATTGTAGTATTTTTTAAGTGACAAACCAATTAACACTTCTAACTAGAGTTACATGTAGTTTTTTAAACAATTCAACTGTGTAAATAAATATTTTTAAAATGATATACTAGGTAAGTTTATTTATTTGACCATTGTAATTCAAACATGCTCTGTCGTTAATTTTATTTAATTTCCTTATTAAACAACAAAACAACAAAGCTTATGTTAATTTTCTACATGACTGCAGGTATATGTTTGATGCAATGGGCCAACCGACCATTAGGCACGTATACCGTGAAGGAAATGTAACCAAGTGGCGCATGCACTGGCTAAATATGGGCGCACTTGGAACTCACATACTTATGCTGAGTATGAAGACAATTTTTAAAGTGAACCGCTTTTATTTGCTTTCTTTATTTTCAGCAAAGACCGTTTAAGGACTGCATCGTTAAAACCGATTTCCATGCTGTAATAACACTTCTTATTGTCCTGCTTAATAATAAACTTCTCTATTTAGTAAATAAAAAAAAAAAAACGTGCTCTGTCGTGTAAATGCATTTGAGGGATTATAATGACTGCTTTGAAATATTCTCTACCATACGTACTGTATGTTTAAAGCAAAAGGTAAAACAACCTATTTAGATTTTCACATCATCAATTCCCTATCTATATATTAAAGAGATTTTTGAGGGATCATTGTTAGTTGTTTAGACTATGGTTACAGAATTAATTAGCAGGCTAAGAAATTTTCCAATGTTACATGCTAGCAAAAAATTAAAGTTAGTAACCACTACATATTTCATAATTATTGAATGCTTAATCATAAGGTATAGTGTCATTATACACGTTGCTATATCTCCATAGAGGAGACTAAAGATTTGTTGAGGGGAGCTTTTAGCTATAAATGTTAGCTAGGCCTAGGATTAAGAGGACCACAGCTCCGGCAAAATAGTCGGCGCTTTCTTACGCGGGGTTGTTGACCGGTTACCGGAGAGTGTGAATAGGTTCAGCTTACACGTGGGAACAGTAAAGTGCAAAAAAAGAAAAGAAAGTTTGGCTCATTTACACGTGTGTTCTTCATTTCAGAAAGTATGATTTTTCCCTTTCCACTTAATAAACCAAAAAACTCTTTCTTGAGGGAAAAGATTGTCCTTTCTTCCCTTCTATTTCCAACCTCTTCACTAATTCCCTCTTATACTTCTTCTTCTTTTTCTTTTTTCACTTTTCGCATTTCTTTGTGTTGTTAAGGTAAATGTTAGCTCAAAAGTTATTACATACCTTATGAGTATAAAACAATATAAATGAATCATGAAAATCATAGCAAACCGTAATAATCCGTTTGACCAAATGAAGAAAACGAAAATAAGTACTCAGGGTTAGGGGGAGAAACATTAGAAGCCTTTATTGATAATATTGGTTTGGTCTGCCTCTCCATGAAGAGGTTCAGAGCCTTACAATGGTGTTCCTCTTGCCCATAATATGGGTATCGTTGTCTCTTTTTTCTCTTGTCAATAGTGGCGAAGAAGAAGCTCCCTTTCTAGGGTTTCCTCTCTTGGTATTTATAGCTGTGAGCTTCGTGAGCTGGCAATAAGTGGCCGTGACCACGTTGGGATTTCGCCTTCATGGTGGCGGATGGGCCGTGGCCTTGTTGATCGAATTAGATGAGGGTTGAATATCGTTAATTCTGAGTGGTCGTACCACTAATTAATCATGAATTAGCTTAAGACGGTATTAGCTTCGTTAATTATCGTGGGGTCGGATTCTGACCCATACAGTTAGTCCCTCCGCTTATTGAGGTCGGGCCTTGGCCGAGCTCGATGAGTGGATTCCATCGACTGTAGTTTGAGAAACTCGGATAGGGAGGTCGACCGTCGCTGCGGTCGAGGCCGAATTACCTTTGGCGATGGCCCTTAGCCTTGTAGAGTGTTAGTGTTTTGTTATTGTGCTATCAAGTCGTCGTTCGATCGAGGTCGAGCTCTCCTCCTTGGCGAGGGCGCTTGACCCTTTAACTTAATTCGAGTGAGGTCAAGCTTTGTTGTGCTCTGATCCTTACGTTTGTTTGGGAGTATAAATGTCGACCATGGTGGACGGGTCATATGTTGTGCAGCCGAAGGGAGTAGGGGTACGCTGGATACGTGTTTGGCGACGTCCATCGTTCTGAAGGCGCACGGAACATCCTCTCGGCGTTCATGGGTCGTTGCAACCGTTTCGCAGGTGAGACCCCGGTTGGTGACTGAAAGGCCGCTTCACGGAGCCTGTCATAACTACGTGCGTTTCTCCAGAACCGAATCGGTTTGCGGTTGGTCATGTAGTTAATGAAGGCTATTGGGGCTTGTGAAAGCCACTTGCGTTGCTTATAAATAAGGGCTGACCCATTCATTTTTTATATTCTCATAGTTTGTCTGAGAGAGATTCTGAAGAAGCTTTTCCTCCTGCTAATTCACTTTCATCTTTGTTCTTCGATCGTTATAACTTCCGTCTTGTCCATCAAACTTTGTTTCTTTCTCGTTAGTGAATTAACAATGGCAGGCAGTTCTTCCCAAAACGTCCTTCCGACGGATCTTCCGGCTAACCTTCCGGTGGTTGAAGGGTCATCTCCGGCAACGGGGGGCGCAGAACCGGTGGAGACCGATGAAGTTCCATCGATCGACGAGATAGTATCTCTGCCCGGAGGTCCGATGACTGATTTCACCGCCGATGGCGGGGAAGATCAGGTGGATGAAGCCCCATTAATGGGGGAGATTGGGATGGCCCAACTACGGAAACAGGGGGTCATCCCCAGCTATGCTGACGTCGTTCTTGCTAGAAGCGAGGAGAGGGTCCACACCGACCGCAGGGGATACTGCATTTTTTACGCCTATCCCTTCAAGTTGGGTTTTAAGCTCCCGCTCCCAATGATGGTGGTTGATTTTTGTCGTTATTACGGGGTGTGCCCGGGTCAGCTTGCTCCTTCTCTTTACAAGTTGCTAGCAATGTTTATCAAATATGCAGAATTGGCCGGTAGGGAGGTCACGCTGCAGCATGTGCTTAGTCTCTACGCTCCCCAGAGAGTTCGCGGTACCATGATTCAAGCGTGCCCTCGTGGGTCGAGGGGCCTGACTGCAAAACTGGATGACGAGGTCGACCCTCGCCCTTTTGAGCACTTCTTCTACATCAGGACTGAACATTTAGTGGCGTGCTCTACTGGGTTCCCAGAGGCTTGGAATCATGCACGTAAGTTTTCTAATCGTCGAATTCCCTTTTCTGCCCCTCCTTACGTCTTGTGCTCATAAACGTTAACTCGTATCAATTTTGTAGCCGAAAAGTTGCCGCCGGCTCCGTTAGCTGGGATTCGCGAGTGGGTTGAGGCCGTGCTCCCCCATACGGTGGGGATACGCACATGGGCGTCTTTCTGGGAGAGGCATGGTCGTAGGCCTGTGGCAGGTAAAAAATTGATTTCTTCTTCTGTTTCGCTTTGTCTCAACTCTATTCATCAACTTTGTTTTTCTGTGATCAGGGAGGGCACGCCGCGTCAGGGCCCCTCAGTTGGCCTTCCGTCGGCCGGGTGCAATTGCTCGGCTTACTGCAGCGCCGGTGTCTCGCCCAATACCGAGGGCGGCATCAGTTGAATCTTCAGCGGCTCCTTCTCCAGCATGGGCCGCACTTCGGGACGAGGGGCCATCGGGGGTTGTGCGCCCTAGAGCGGAATCGCCATCAGATGGGGAGGAGGAGAGGCCATTGATAAGGCGTAGGGTCGTGTTCACGCCGGCTCCTCCTGCGGCAATTAATTTGGACTCCCCCCCCGGCGGATGCGGAGCGGAGTGTAGCTGCGGCGCCTGACCCTGAGGGTGGACATGCAATGGGGGTTGCCCCGGTTGGCTTATGCCATGATGATGTCGTCGCTTCGGCGACTCAATTGGTGGTTCCAGTCGATGAGACGGGAGGTAGTTCCTCAGTGGCTGCTAATGTTGGTGAGGCAAGCGCTCCTTCGGTGGCTACGGCGGGTGGTTCTACCTCGCTGATGGTGGAAGGAGGAAGGGGTGCTGTAGGAGATGAGTACGAGTCTGAATCCGACTTGGACCCCGACGACATCCGTATGTTCCAAGAAGGCTTCACCAATTCAGCAGTGCGTGCAGAGGGGCGGTCTCGCTTCGTCGAGGTTCCCACGGAGCTGAACTTGTTGCTCCAAGGGAGTAGCTTGGTCCCGCAGTTTGAGCTGCTGTGCTCGGAGGCCGAGAATGCATCGTTGAGGGACGTTACGGATATCGGACTGATGAATGAAGTGGCCGTGATGGGCTTGAGGGTATGTACTATTACGTCGATTTGCTTCTTTTTTGTCTTAGTTTGTTCTTTATCTTAATCGTTGTCTTTGCTTTGCAGTCTTATTTGTTGGAGGTGGAGAGCATCCGTCGAGCCAAAGTCCGCTCGGGGATATTTTTGCGGGCGCTGGAGAAGTATCGCCGCTACCGAGATCGGTGCCGAGAGTTGTGCGTGCGCTTGAGGAATGATCCCCGTAGCCGGGCCTTGGTCGAGAAACTGGCGAGGCGGGAGCTTCAGATGCAGCAAAC